TGATGTGTTAGAACATACACCGTGCTACGTTTGTACCTCTTCGCCGACAGGGATACCTACTGATCACAGTCACACCATTCCCATAGTCTGCATTCGCAGTAACCCACTGCTGATTCCCACCAAAAGACGCGCCATGCACAGTGCAGTGGTCACGGCCATGCACAGTGCAGTGGTCACGGCCATGCACAGTGCAGTGGTCACGGCCATGCAGGACGCTCCCGATTCACAGCTGACTGAGCGGCGGCAGCGGCCGCAGCGGCGGTAGTTTGGATGCATTGCTTTGATACAATAACACGTGTGTTAATCTGGTTCCTCCGAGCTTCAGTCGTTGCGAGCGAGGACGTCGGCCCACCGAGTTTAACGTTTGTCCACCGGAGCCTTATCAGCTTGGTCGGCCCAGTCGGCCAGTAACGCTCTTTGTATCACATCGATGATTATTTCATGAGATCGTTTCGTCATGAAATTTTCAGTAATAATTAGCGAAATGCTTTAAAGTTGCTGGTACCATGTTCTCGTGAATTTAAATGCCGGCTCTTAATCAAGTGGCGTATGGTTGGAAAGCAGCAAAATATAACTAATATTACCTCCTTGTTTGATTAACAACGGAAACGCGCCGGTTTAAAATCCCGAGCAAGCTGAATAGCACCGTCCGAAGACAGGTCCAGGTTTGGAAGATCAGACGTTACGGCGCAAGGGAACTAGCTTATGCTGACGGCGGAGGTAACGGACAGTAGTACTGGCAGACTTGCCTGGATCGACGTCCGCAGACTGTCATGCGCTATCGTGCGCAAGTCATGCATACCCCGTTATAGGGAGCTTGTAAAGACTGAAGCCAGATCTGGCAGCCGGAGAGGGTAGAGACGTATAACAAGCTACATGGTACTCCCCAATAAACCCTCTAGAGATCAGACAGATTTCTCATCACTGTTCAGTGTTCGATCCATAGATGTGCCAGAACAAAAGTCAGGAAAACATTCAATGTCGTCTTTTCCGAGGCCGGTCTAAATAAAGCGCGCTGTGCTCTAAGCTTAGATAAATTGGGAGCTGAAAGCTGCGCGGAAGTACGGAACATTTGGTTGTGGTCAATATCCTTTCAAGAATATTAGCGTTTTCTATGCTTTAATTATAGTCGCCAAGTAAATTCGATCTGTCCAAAGTTGATCGATATCGTTGATTTATATTGTCAGGCTCTATCTGGTCCAAAATGAAAAACCAGCCTAACCTCCGATAGTACCATTTGTGAATGCTACGCCAAGGAGGGCAGTAGCATATAACATGGTACGAGGGGAGGGAGGCGGGAGGGGCTGAGCCTCACCTCGCGCAAAATTCAGCGTTGGGTGCTGATTGTAAAAAATAACAAAATAAAGATCACTATTTCCTCCCCTCCTCAGCATGGACTGTTTCTGTTTGACCGATTGCTCGCGAACGCCGCATGTCAGTGCACCTTTGCTATACTTTCCCATGGAGGATATTTCAGATATTTTCATATTTCTCCAGAAAGTTTGCAAGGAAGAAAAGAAGAAGAAAATAAACAAACAAAAAAGCAAGAACGAATGACCCTGCATGGTGATAACAATATCGTTTGTTCGTCCGTTCGTTCAATATCGCTCGTTGTCAGTTCATTCCCTCCACGTCACCACGTCATCAGCGCCTCCCTCAGCACGGCTTAAAACGGCTGATAGCTGTCGTGACTTAGTCGCACTTGATTATATTCCCTTGTTACAAGCTCACGCCTTCAAGGCTATTACCAGAGCACGTGTGGCTTGGGAATAGCGAGCTTATTAGGAAAAAACCCGGACACCTAACTTCACGTGTTGTAGAGTCAGGTTAACGTGGGCTCCGACTCAGCCTAACACATCATGATTGTGACTCAGACCAGAGGAGACACACCTGGCAAGACTGGGCCACTTAGACTGAGGCCCTCAGTCAAGGCGTCATGACTTGTGCTCGCACTGGACTCAGTTGCTGGGCCTTGACTCATGTCCGGGTGCGTGACGCCGCAGCCGATGAGCCGGCCAGCTGAGTGACGACGCAGCGCCTCCAGCTGTTAATGCCCGATCGATGTTCCCGAGGCGGTGCGCCGGCCCGGCTTGTCGCCCCTGCTCCGCCCATCCACAGGTGCCGGGCGCCCCGTCACCGGGCAACCATCGACTGTCGGGCCGCTGTCATGCCGACGGGCCGCGGGCCGGCCCCGCTGCGACCTTGCCCCGCAGCATCGACTGTAACAGGCGGCCCATTTCATTGCTGTGGACACTGCCGGACGTGGGCGGACGGCTGGCCGGAGCGTCCCTCGGCGCCCGTTCGACAGTGCGCCTGTCCGTCTGTGGGGGTGCGGTGAAAGGTGGTAATTGTCAGCGAGCAAACAGGACGGACATGTGTGGGCTCTTCCTACCCATGTCGATATGACGTTCACGTGGATGTGAGCCCTGGCGTGGCGGGCAGCGCGCGTGCGGACGCCATCAATCACGGGTGGCGTAGTGTTGTGATCTGAGCAGCCGCCATGGTGCTAGTGAGGAGTGCTCGCCTCCGTAGGGACAGCGGTCAGCAGCAGCCGCACCAGCCGCTGCCGACGCCAGCCGTCGCGCCGCTCCAGAGCCTGGCAGCTGCGGACCCGAAACAGGCGACCGTGCTGCCGCCCAGCAGCGGTGACGCGCAGCCGCAGTTCCGGCCAGTGCCGCCGCCGCAGAACGTGCCGCGCGGGGCGGCCGGCCAGCCGGCGACGGATGGTGGCGTTGCTGTTACACAGGGGGACCGCGACGCCCAGCCGGGACACACGACGTCGGCCGAGCGTCCTGTCGCCACCCAACCCTCGCCGGCAGCACGACCGGCATCGGTAGGCAGACCACGGCATACGCGTGTCACTTGAAGCCCTTTATCTTGCTTGCTATGCCGGTGTTCGGAAGTGACACGCCTTCAGACGACTGCACCCTAAGCGCCGCGTATAGGGCCTTCAAAGGGCTGCCTGTGGCTTTCCTTAACTGCTTTGTTTTCTTGAGACTTGCTCGGAATAAGAAGATTTGGTTATCGACTCCGGACGTACGGCTTTGTGTCTGTTCGATCACGTGTTCGATGCGCCTTGTTTTGCACCACTCACAGTTCCAGCCTGGCAGCTCGGGATGTTATCTGGCTTATTGAGTGCTGGAGTAAAACAAATTGTTCCGTTCTTGAAAGAGAACGGAAATTATGTGTTTCTGCAGTCGTGATTGTTAACCATAAAAACAAACTTATGAAAAAGAAACACTTAAAACGTGATTCGTTCGAAAGGATTTAGAGTTCCTTAAAGGAGACTCTTGAGACTCTTGGGTGAAAAAACCTGCAAAGCAGGTGGAATCATCTTGTGGCCAACACTTTGATCCTTCAGTTACATGGCTTGTACTCAATTCCTGGCGGTGGCATAACCTCGAACGCAAATACGAGTGTAACAGCTGTTCTCCCTAGCATTCCACAGAGGTCTGTGGCAATGCGCGTCATAACGTCAATTGTTAATTAATGTTTTATCGTTTAGGAACGTCAGGGCATTCCTTAACAATAAATACATTCGGTCTCCCCATACCGTCATGAGCTTTAAAGGGCTTGGGCTCACATCCATGCTTGCGCTCTTCCGCACCTGGCATACCCCTGGCCGCCGTCCTGGCAGCGTTTGGAACCGTACCCGGCAGAGCTTCCGCAGCGGCCGCCGCTGACGAGGCCAGTGCTGCCGCGTGACCTGATCCCGCGCTGTTCCCCGATGACAGGCTGGTATCGCCGGGTGACCTGACCCCGCGCTGTCCCCCGATGACAGGCCGGTATCGCCGGGTGACCTGACCCCGCGCTGTCCCCCGATGACAGGCCGGTATCGCCGGGTGACCTGACCCCGCGCTGTCCCCCGATGGCAGACCGGTATCGCCGGGTGACCTGACCCCGCGCTGTCCCCCGATGGCAGACCGGTATCGCCGGGTGACCTGACCCCGCGCTGTCCCCCGATGGCAGACCGGTGCCGCCTGGTGGCCTGACCCCGTGCTGTCCCCCAATGATAGGCCAGTGCCGCCTGGTGGCCTGACCCCGTGCTGTCCCTCGATGGCAGAATGGCACGGCCGGCAGCCTGAGCGGCAGCTTCTCGGTACTGCCTCCGATCGCCGGCGGTGGCTCGGGTCCTGCTGGCTGTCAGTCCGGGCGCAGCGGCAAGCTCGGAGAGCTAGAGGAGATCACACTTAAGTGAGTAATGATGTCACCGGAATCCAGTGCTTACAGTGATGTCATCTACCTTTTCCTACAAAACTCAGCTCTCTCGTCCTGGCTCCATCACATGGAGGCATATGTGACAGCTCGTATCGCTTTGAGAAGGCCGCATTCCGCTAGGCAGAGGCTAGATGCAGCCAGACGCCTGAAATAATCGCAAGAAAATACTGTACATCCTGCATGCTTTTTATAGGTTTACGTTTTGCGCAGCCTGTCGATGAAATTCAGAAACTTAGATTCCCTGCAGACGATGATATTTGTACGGCATCGGGTCGCAAGAAATGGAAGCTATGCCCTGAACAAGATGAACTCCAACGGGTTCTGTTGCCACAGTCGTTCACGGTTTTATTTCTCCGGGAAAGAAACTCGGAGCTTCACCAGAAGCACATCTCGCCACCCCCATTGTGACCAGCTCTCGGGTATGCCCTGTTATTGATTGTCATGGATAAAAAGGTCGTTAGTCCCGCTTTGACATCTGTGTCACATCCATCTCACATCTGCACGGCGTAATGGACCTGGCACTCAATGACAAGATAGCCACAACAAGCCCTTTTATCGCAAGCGGTCAAGATCAAGTTTGAAAGGCGCAGCTCGTCGTAAATGGATATTCATTTGTTTACTCCGTACAAGTGATATTTATTAAATCCTTTTCGACTTGCCCAGATCTTTAAAATGTGTAGGCTGGCGTGTCTAGATGCCCAGCTTAAAGATGCCCAGCTGACCAGCTTATGACGGCCACATAAGATCATGACCCCAATCGTCAAACGTAGCGACGACCACATGAGATCATAACCCCAATCATTAACCCCAATCATTAAACGTAGCGGACCGAACGCCCTCTCTGATCGCGCTCCAGAAACGAGATTTACCGGAACGCCGAGCTGATCCAGGAGAGGCGCGTCCAGCGTCTGCTCAACGAGATGCGGACGTTGGACCGGGACAGGGACGGCGTGCTGGAGCCGATCCAGGTCAAACGCACCCTGCGCAAACACCAGGTCAGTCCGGCCACAGGCGCACGATCAGACGCCGAGGGTTGGGCCTCAGCGCACAGTCAGACGCCGAGGGTTGGGCCTCAGCGCACGATCAAACACCGAGGGTTGGGCCTCAGCGCACGATCAGACGCCGAGGGTTGGGCCTCAGCGCACGATCAAACACCGAGGGTTGGGCCTCAGCGCACGATCAGACACCGGGGGTTGGGCCTCAGCGCACGATCAAACACCGAGGGTTGGGCCTCACACTAATCAGATGCCGAGGAATGGGCCTCACACTAGTCAGATGCGCACACATGTCAAACTATTCCAGCAAAACTCGGGAGGAGCCGATGGCGTGCATCAGCCATGTCAATGGTTGATATTCTGTGCGAAACAAGGCAACGACGCACAAAACTGGGAAAATCCTATGGCTGGCAAATAGAACCTGAAGTTATCATCCAATCGTGCTTTCCTCGACAGCCTAGTTTGTTCCCGCGTTGACGACAGCTCGACTGTTCATGAGCTATATTCACTCCCGATGAACCGCTGCAGCTGAAGTTCACCCCGGAGGTCGAGGACAACCTGGTGCTGAAGTTCCAGCAGACGCCGAAGACGGTGCAGTACGAGAAGCTGGTGCAGTACCTGGGCCTGGTGAAGCTGGAGGCCAGTCGCACCATCGACGCGCCACCCGTCGCCCAGCACCAGGTGGGCGGCTGCATATCTTCCCAATTTGTGATAATTAACACGATTCATGGCGGGAGTAGCAGTGGCGGCATGCATGATGTGATGCTAGTGATATTATCGTAGGGGTTAGTATGTGTTGGCTGCGACAAGCGTGAATTAGCCACGACGATCGTGCAGTAGCCACCACAAGGCTGCAATAGTCATTACAAGCGTGTAATATCCACCACAAGCGTGCGATGATCACAAGTGTGCGCTAGCCGCCGCAAGCGTGTGGTAGCCACCACGAGCGTGCGGTAACCACCACAAGCTTGCACTAGCCACCGTAAGCGTGTGGCGGCGACCACACCACCACGTAGGCGTGACACTTCCATTGGCGGAGACGCTCCTACCGACCATGGGCTCAGGTATCAGCCTCGCAGCCGGGAAGCGTGAACACCGTCCGCAGATGGATGATCAGCCTCGCAGCCGGGAACGTGAACACCGTCCGCAGATGGATGATCAGCCTCGCAGCCGGGAACGTGAACACCGTCCGCAGATGGATGATGTTAAGTGGCCTCTTCAGGACGTCCCCCCAACTCGGCGCCAAGCCTTCTGCGACGCTCTGTCGGTGCAGGCGGTGCGAATTACGGTGCTGTAAAGATAGGATCACGCGAATGATTGTTGAATGACGCGGTATGACACTGAAGACAACATTGCCTTTTCAGTGGCGCAGCAGTGTCCCAGCCGTCGTTGTGTATTCCATTATATTTCAACCCGCTTGCGAATGACGGGCTGCAGTCGTTGGTGGCGACAAATCATTGATGAGGAGCACGTGCCTTGTCCTGTTCAGGCCGGAGTCCGCTAGCGTGCATGTGCATTGACCGTACCATGCAACTGTGTAACGTATGCACGTTGGCGATACGTTTGCACCTCCCATCCGCCCTGCACTCGAAGTGTACACCCCTCGCCGGCGTCACAGGGTCAGGGTCGGTATGTAGAGAAATGGAAGCTCGCTGGATTGATTAGAGAGCATGCATTGGGATTCCAAATTAGTTCCTTCTGCAAAACTTCCATGTGCCCCACGTCAAAATCTCGCCCATTGTACGCCCAATCTCCAGGTATGTGAGAAGTTGGACCCGTGCCAGTGAGGACGCGTTTGGCCGGCTTCAGGCGCTGCCGCGGCCTGGCCGGGCCTTCACCGAGCGCGACGAGCTCCTGCTGAAGGAGGACCTCAGCGCCTTCCTGCGGCCCCGGTTGCTGGACCTCGAACAGCTCTCACGCACCTTCTACGACCTTGACCGCGACCGCAACGGCTTCCTCTCGGCGGCGCAGGTCTGTGCGCCGCTGACCGCGTGACGGCCATGTTTCAGTCCTTGCTCGGCTTGTCAGAATGAGTGGTCACATTCTGACCAGCGCGAGCTCTGCAGGCGTTGTCGTAGCGTGACCAGCACGAGCTGTGCAGGCGTTGTCACAGCCTGACCAGCGTGAGCTTTGCAGGCGTTGTCACAGCCTGACCAGCGCGAGCTCTGCAGGCGTTGTCGCAGTGTGACCAGCACGAGCTGTGCAGGCGTTGTCACAGCCTGACCAGCGCGAGCTCTGCAGGCGTTGTCGCAGTGTGACCAGCACGAGCTCTGCAGGCGTTGTCACAGCCTGACCAGCGTGAGCTTTGCAGGCGTTGTCGCAGTGTGACCAGCACGAGCTGTGCAGGCGTTGTCACAGCCTGACCAGCGCGAGCTGTGCAGGCGTTGTCACAGCCTGACCAGCGCGAGCTCTGCAGGCGTTGTCGCAGTGTGACCAGCACGAGCTGTGCAGGCGTTGTCACAGCCTGACCAGCGCGAGCTCTGCAGGCGTTGTCACAGCCTGACCAGCGTGAGCTCTGCAGGCGTTGTCGCAGTGTGACCAGCACGAGCTGTGCAGGCGTTGTCGCAGTGTGACCAGCACGAGCTGTGCAGGCGTTGTCACAGTGTGACCAGCACGAACTATGCAGACGTTGTCACAGCCTGACCAGCGCGAACTATGCAGGCGTTGTCACAGCCTGACCAGCACGAGCTGTGCAAGCGTTGACACAGTGTGACCAGCACGAACTATGCAGGCGTTGTCGCAGCCTGACCAGCGCTAGTTCGGTGTTGGGTTGTGTGCTGCCGGCCTGTATATCTATCAGCCATGGACTGCGATGATGTGCCGACAGACAGGTTTCGTTGCCTTGTCTGTCATGTCTTCCTGAGGACTTGACTCGTTGCTGAGCAGCTGGACTTGACTCGTTGCCAAGCAGCTGGACTTTCCGCGCCGATTTACAGCCCGCGGGTATTTTGGCATTCGATCATTTTTCGTCTCGTTACATGCTCGTCTGTATAGCGAGATTTTATTCATATTTAGCCGTTTGACAATTTTCCATATGGTACTTGTCGCGTACGATACGGAAAATTTAAGAACAGCACTCACGTTTGATTCTACCCGCCTGCTGTTTTGACTTTCGTTTGTTTGTTTATTTCTTTTTTGGCAACTCGCCACCGGTACTATTCCGAACAGGCCAATGTTTGGAATTCTCCTACAGACCCTATAATTGCCTTCGAAGATCGCCGATCGAAGATGCCGATCGAAGGCCCATAGATGGGCCTTCGATCCTCTCTGTTCAACATTCTTCCTTTGAATGACCAGTGTTTGATTTTTCCTTTCGACGACCAGTTTTTCTTTCGATCGACTTCTATAACCTCCGCTGGTTTGGTGATGTGACGGACGCTGGCGATGCTCCTCAGGACGTTTGATCATGTGACGGACGCTGGCCAGCGTCCGTCACATCACCACCTGACGGATTTGATTTGGTGGTGTGACGGACGCTAGCGGCGCCCTGTAGGACATGTGATCGCGTGACGGACGCTGGCGACGTCCCGTAGGTCGAGACCGGTCTGCACCGCGCCGGCCTGGCGGACATGCCGTCCGAGCTGATGCGAAGACTCTGCACGGCCGCCGATCGTCAGGGCAACGGCCTCTCCAACATCGATAAGATCACCACCTACGTGGAGAGGTCTATGCCTGCCTTCAGCCGGGCTACGCTCCAAGGTTAGCCGGCTCTAAGGTGGTTTGTCGGTCACCGAACCGAATGTGGTCCTGTCTGTGATCAAAAGTCACGGGCGTTTCATTCTGTCCCATTTGTATTGACTTGCATGCAAAGTCTTGCACACAGTGTTAGCAGTGGCCATTCCAATGAATGGGTCGGACTGTCGACAGGGCTGGGGAACAACCACCACCCGCGGGCGCCGAGGGAGCCGGCGCCGGTCAGCGTCAGTACGAGGCCGGCTCCCATCACGTACCAGCCGCGTCTGACCCAGCAGGTTCGCGGCGCCAGTCCGGTGACGAGGGAGCCGGCGCCGGTCAGCGTCAGTACGAGGCCGGCTCCCATCACGTACCAGCCGCGTCTGACCCAGCAGACACGGCTGGGGTTAGCGGCGCCAGTCCGGTGACGAGCCTCCAATGCAGGCAACGACTTCGCTCTAAAACGCTGGTGAAAACTGCGTATGGGTTAGATAAGAAAACTCGATACGGTTTTATGTTACACATGTCTGTCACCCGTGACTTCGCCGTGTTAAAAGCCCTCCTAGGTAGAAATGGCAGGAAACCATTGACAGTTTTTAAGAATTCTTTTTGTAACCGTATATTTGGTAGTGGAAAGTTAAGGATAACCAGAAAAGAACATATATTAGGATCCCGGCTTACACTAACCAGGAAGCGTACTCAACCGGACGAAAATGTTGTTTTTGCTTGTTCAAAATGTCTGGAAATGTATTTTGAGCTGCTGAATGATGACTCAACAGCACGTTGTTTTTAACTGATGAAGGAGAACAAAGTCTCCCGTGGCTTCATTATGATCCCTGAACCATTTACCATGAGGTTACCTACTGATCAGACTTAAAACATGTTGTTCACATCAGCTCCCCTGCTATTATGGCATCCAATCACTAATACAACCCATTTCGATTTTTGAAGTTAGAATAAACCCATCACGGGGGTTTAAGTGATTTCATATTTGGAAAGTCGCGCCACTCTTTCCTTATATACACATACACACACACACACACATATATATATATATATATATATATATATATATATATATATATATATATATATATATATATATATATATGGAATGTTTCTTTTTGTCAGGATTTTGTTTTTACGCTTTAGTACTTCTGGAAGATTTTCGCCTTAACACGAGCCCAAAGGCAGGCGAGCACATCCAGCCTGGTGGCAGGCTTTACCCCCCCCCCCCCTAGTATCTTCGTCATAACAGCGTTTTAGCGCATAGTGGTGCAGTGAGAGACAGTGTAATGTCACATCAAAGTGACAACGTGCCAAGTAGTCTATATTTGTTGTGGCTGATAAACTGTGTTTATGATCATACTATTTGCTCGTTCTGGCAAAAAGGTGAAAAACATTGCGGAAAGGTCGAATCCCTGTAATCATCATAGTTCGGACCAGTGCTATTAAGCGATACCCCGCCCCCACCCCCCCCCCCCCCCCCCGCGCACAGGATGAGACTCCGCCACCGGCAAGCGCGGTGCCCGAGCCGGCAGCCGTGGACGCAGCGCCGTACGACACAGCGTACCCGCCGTCACCGCCGCCGCCCGCCTTCGACCCCGACCTCTGGCGGGTCGACTACCAGAAGCTGGTCAACACCTTGTACCAGAACGACGAGGAGGCCAGCGGTGCGGACGGGCGCGGCGGGGGGCGCCGACATGGCGAGCGGTCACCGCGGGCTGGTGCTCCGAGGGGTCACACTGGAATCTGGGGCACAACCTGACCTGAGAAAAACATTTTAAGTCAAAAAACGAAAATGTGCTTTCTACAGGCAAATTGTTTCGGGGAAAATTCCATTTTGTGAAGACTTGGCTAACCTCGCCATCGCCCCCCCCCTCACCCCCAGCCCCCCCCCCTCACCCCCAGTCCCCCCCTCACCCCCAGCCCCCCCCCCCCCACCTCTCCAGTTGCTCACTCGGCGGGCGGCCTGCCTGCCCCCTCCCCCACCCCAGATGTTCTGTCTTCTCATGACGGTCCGCGAGCGACGGACGTGGCGCGGTTGGCTCGACCTCGCGAACATGCGCCTCGTCTGGGAGAGTGCGACCACGCCAGCGCAGGAATCAGAGCGGTGCAGTCGTGAGGTTCCTGCAAGATTCTTGACATGTCAACAGCTGTCCACCGTCGCGCTACCCGACCATGACTCATCAGCAGTGCAGTTAATTAACATTATTCTCGAGCTTATTTAACGAACCTGACGCTGGCTTTTACATCCATATTTAGCATTGTTTTGTCGCTAAGCGCAATGCAATTTGCGGCACACACCGCCGCATCACGCACGGTGAGCTTCTCTTGGCAGGCTACATGACCCCGGACGAGGCGGGCAGGATCACAGAGAGCTACAACGTCATCTACAACCTGGGCATCCCCACCGACTTCATCAACCAGGCACTGTCGCAGGCCACGGAGCCCAACTACGGCATGATTCAGCTCAACATCTACACCGACGTCCTGATGAGGCTGTGTCTGAATGTGTCGTAATCGCCTCCGATGGGACTGTGGCGCCAGCGATCCCTCGATCCATCGCAGCTGAGATCGCGTGCATCGCCGAAGGGCGGAAGCCGCTCGGGCATTGTGTTTTCTGTTGAACACAGGGTTATCAATGTGCAGGCCCACATTGTTTAAGTTGCCGATAGCAGAACAGCTTTACATCAGCGTTCCCTGACACACGACACCCATCATTTACACCGCCAGCCAACAAGCCGGCTGAGCCATGGTCGGGACATGTATCACCTTACTAAAGTATTGTGGTGTGCGTACTCTACCAGGTACATTCTGTCAATTCGAGTCGGGGAAGCGTGACTATGTTATGGGTACTTGTGTGATCACTGCCGCAACAGCCGGTGTGTTATAATTCTGGCTTCTGTACACGCGGTGCGTGAATATAACTGTGTCTCGCTAGACTGAAATGAATCGTTGACCCACTTGTGGTTCATGGCTTTTCAACAATTCGTCAACAATTTGTCAACAATTCGAGTGCATTCTTTTTGCAGCGCTTGCATTCAAATAAAGCATGTATTTTTGAGATGGCGGAATGTTTTCGATCTGTTCTAGAAATACAGCGTGCTTCTGAACGGTACATGTGACGACACGACACGGGCCGGTGTTGGCGGCGTGCCGCCCGTTTTGAAAAATCTGTTTTGGATGGAGTTTATCATGGATATCGTGGATGCCATCGAAGTCAGGCGCAGGAAGACCAATCCCACCATGGATGGACGGAGCTGAAAATATGCGGTGGGTTTAGTGGTAAATTTGTGTATTCTGCTTACCTCCCGAAACGAATGCTTACGTATTCGTGCGCGTTGTACGATCGAACAGTTCCAGGACAATGCATATAAGAGCGTAATACGAACATGAAGTAGATTCGGCCGCTATCACCTTCGAGGTAGTCGCCCTGTTTAACGTGACACCGCCCCCAGCGCTTCTGCCACGCTTGGGGCGCTGCGCGTTGTAAGCCCGTACTGTAAACGTGCCATGCACCGTCTGCCAATAACACTGGATCCCCAGCGCGGTGAAAACAGCAATACTGCAGCCCAACCTTATCTCAAGCGAGATGAAGAAGCTTCAAGGAGCCAAATGCATCGAGTAAGACGGGTGGGAGCAGCACTGACGCTGGTGCAGCTCAAACATTCACGCGCTTTCACCGCACAGAGACATATCGGCACCTGTTTGTGGCCCATGCTTCACGTTTCCGGCAATCGTCGCCAAAATGGTCGGCTTGCGTTGGCGTACGACAAAACACTGCGAGAGAGAGAGAGAGAGAGAGAGAGAGAGAGAGAGAGAGAGAGAGAGAGAGAGAGAGAGAGATAGAGAGAGAGAGAGAGAGAGAGAGGGAGAGAGAGAGAGGGAGAGAGAGAGAGGGAGAGAGAGGAGAGAGTAGAGAGAGAGAGAAGGGAGAGAGAGAGAGGGATGTATATATATATATATATATATATATATAAATGTACGTGTGTGTAAATATACATACACACACACACACACACACACATATATATATATATATATATATATATATATATATATATATATATATATATACATTTCAATTAATGACATCTGTTTAATGCCGTAAGGTACTCTCAAATCGTACCAACGTTCAATGTCAATGCCGTGCGCAATGACAAATTGCCAATTGGGGTCAAACCATCAGACCAAATTGCACACCCTACTCCAATTTCCTTTTTGTCTCTGAATTAGGCCACAGTGCCGCACTCATCGACCCGGAAAATGTGCTGGTTTGCGACAGTTAAGGTGTTATGTGGCATGCGAGTGGCGGTGTGCAAACAAAAAATGGACTCAATTTGGCGCCGTGCCACATTTTTCCACTCCGCTTTTTTTCATGGCACCAATGGTGACATTGACCAATGTCTGCACGGGGTTCAGTCTAAAAGCAAACTGCTTTCATTAAATGCCTAAAAACGTGCTGTAAAAACAACGATATGTGAGGTAACTGTAATTGTGGTGTAGAAAATGCGTGTGCTTTTATTAGGACTTCCACATGTCTTTTTATTATTAACACGCGCTCGGGACGGGGATCAATTAGGCCACTCTCCCTTCCAAAGGGTTCCAAAATAGCTTTTGACCGGTGCAGCGTAGCCGCTCTAATGTTGGTAGGTGCATGGCAATATGCGACGATCGTACGTTTCTATGGGGAGGTAAACATCCGGTTACATCAATGAAAAATTTTTGGCTCCGTCACCCCGCGCCAAACTTTGCTTACCTGTAGACAACTGAATAACATGTCTTAGACAATTCTTGTGGAACCGTTTAAGCTAATGCGACAACGTAATATTGAGGGGGCACCCGCATCTCTTTACTTTTCACTCCTGGTTACATCAGACGCGTCCGATTGGATCAATTATATGAATTTTCTCGAAATCCTTCTAAACAGTTCAGAATTTTGGTTTGAGGCAGCAGAGACCCTGCGGGGGAAATCTCATTTGACTCCATGCTCACCATTATGAACGAAATAAATTTAGATTGACTTACTTTTTCCAACGGGTGTGTCCTGTTCTGCAGTGTTGGCAACGCATCAATGTGTCAAAACATTTGTGTAATATATGCTACGGAAGCTTGAAAGAGTCTGTTGAGACAAACACACATACGAGCATTAAGTTGTTATTCCAGGAATTGAATGCAATGTAATGCTATAACTGCTTGCTTCCCTATGGCGTTTTACTATGGCGACATCCTTCGAGGCGCACTTTGGGTTTGGAAATGAGAGCATCATATGATCCATTTGGCGCACTGGTCCAAACTTCAACCAATGCACTTCTCGGCCGTTGCCCACTGGGCCAATCACAAGCGCACCAGTATTCACAGCAGCAATCACACCAGTAATCACAAGCGCACCAAGAGCACCGATTTATTCGTTCCAGTAGAGGTGCTTGCGGTAGTTGTCATGACGACGGTCGTCGCAACTGCAGGGAAATAGCGTAATGCTGTTGCGAAGCGGTGACAGCGAAATTGGACCAGAAAATAATCAAATTGATATCTTTGCTCTGTCTTGATGGTGCTGCAGCGGTACTACCCAGTGCTATTATTGGACGCAACTAATCTTGAATTTTAAATATCATATTTTCTTTTCAAGTATGCCCCTAGGTGTGACACTCCCTTTGAACGAAACCATAAATCTGTGAAATGCTTTCTTAAACAATTAAATAATTGAGGTTAGGATTACGACTAATGCTAATTAGCCTGGGCCAGTACCAAGGTGGGACCACGGTCAGAACCAAACTGCTCTTTCATTGACGAACGTGCTTTAAGCGGTAGTTTTCGATGCTCCTTTCGGATTTCTTGACCACAGCAACGTCAGCAGACACCTTATTTGGACTTCTTGCAGGTCAGCGGAGGTCACTGACCTAAAATAACCCATATCAGCCGTTTCTTCCGACCGGTGCGGCGCAACTGATCCAACCGTTGTGATCTGAAAGGAACAGCAGTGAAATGTTGCTTAGAGGATATGCCTAGGGTTAAGGCAGCTGCATGAGCAGGCCTTCAGGTATTTTCGATACCGGTCTGGAGTTAGACTTTATTTAGTCCAAACGTCAGCAGGTAATTTGACCAATTCTATCTCAAAATTTAACACCAGGAAGTTTAGACACAAGCCTTTCCACCTTGTGAGTCTAGGCGCTTCTGGTTTTCTTGTTTGGTTTTATCTTAAGGGTCATGTTGACCCATCATCTTCCCTACCGAGCGCGTCGCAATCAGCCGGCCACCTGCGCGTTTGTCAACTTGTTGCGCGTCTGAGGTGCGCTAAATGTCCATGAAAAGGATGAATCCTATGTTTTGTAAGACATCTTAATTTCATGTGGGCGAGTTCTCCCTCAGCGTTACAAAATAGTAACAAAGCAACCTACAAAGTAAGTTTCACTGACATGCGTACGATTGCGCAAACTATATGATAACATTTTTTTTTGCTGCACATGACAATGTTCTTCTTCTTTGCGATCTGAAAGCTTCGTTTAAACCTGAATCTATGAATTCCCTGGAAATCGTAAAAAAATGCAGCTAAACATTTTACAATATAATGACCACAGAATTCAAGATGAAACCAAAACTTTCCTGTATTTTTGCCGCAAAAAGTGTAGGGGAAGTGCAGGCGTCAAGACATATCAGAACAACAGCAACCTTTTTACTAATGAGAGCCGACATTTATCCGAGTTAAGCTGTTTGTGGCCGATATCTAGGCCTCAGGTGACATCTTTGAGAAAAAGTTAGTGATGTGGCAGTCAAACATCGTTGCCCTTCTATAAACTCGTTGGCTGCATCGCGCAGAATGCTAGCAAAAGAGCTGTATTGCTGCGAAGACATACCAATCGTCGTAGCCGGAGCCCAACTTTGGGAGAGCTGAGCTCGACTAAAGTTATACTGACCACATTCGTGATGTGGCGAGATGCGTAGTGGAGGGCTCGCCCTCGAGAGCAAGCGTTCGTATATGGGTGGCCGAAGAGGACCATTTGGCTGCTGACTTGACGGCGTCAGTCTGATCAGGGGCTGCAGTCGTGCTAGTGCACGGCTATTCCGATGCTATTCCGATGAGGCCCCGAGGCAGAGTGTGCCTGTTAAACCTTCATTACAATATACGTCATGCAATAATGGATGGTGGTTCGGGGTGTTAGCAATAAATCATTTTTAGTACAGAATCCGATTCAAACTTCGTCCCAACGAAATTTGTGGTTTCTGCTCTTTGTATTGTATATCCCATTTAATAGCTGAACCGATATTCTGGAGTAATGGTGCCACTCCAAAAATAGCATTATGTTGTCCGATTTCATTTTCTCATGAGATTATACCGCAAAGTAAGTTGGGTTCTAAGTAAAACGATGCCAGGTTCTTGGCTTTCCAAGGGTAGCGGACAAAATGACGCTCAGCATACAAATGTCCACGAAACCAATGAATCTGTGGCGTTAGTACCGTGTTTTGGTTGCGGAAATAAGTGCCTGGGGTTATGTTTGGTGGCGAAAGACGTCTTATGTAAAATGGTTCAGCCCCCATTATCCAAAGTTACCCATCATTTAAATTAATAATTTTGAGGTTGAGGGGATCAAGTTGCCCCACTGCATCTTCCATGTCAACACCACCACGCAAAAAGATCAATTAAATTAGTCAGTGTGTGATGGTTATCTTTTCACTACGCTTTTTTGCATTACAGCCAAAAAAAAAAAAAAATCGGGGAGCCAAACCAACATTGGGAGAAGGGCCCAACTCAACATGGAGGGGGGGGGGGGGGGGCTGGGGCAAGGCACTCACAAAAGAATACAAATCGAAAGCCGTAACATAGACTCCAGTTGGACTTAATGGGCCCAACTGGAATAGGGTTGCGTGGCCCACCGTTCGGTACTGGGGGCCCTGATTGGCACAGGACCCTTCTATTACCTGAGCATGAGCACTCATCATAACTTGTCAGGTTTCTTTTTATTGTCAAAAGGCCCCAACCAACGCGAGAGGCCCTCTGCCATTCGGGCTCCCGTCTCCATCCTTGTTGAGCAAATCTTCCCTTGACCGATTCGAGGCCCCTTGTTGACACAGAACGCCTGTAAGGCACTGCGTGCCCCTGAACGATACAGGAGCCCTACCAATGTAAATCACGGGCCCGGCCTTGTACTTGCTTGGGAAATGGGCCACCGGAGCTCAGATCAACATGGGGACAACCGCTCATTGTTCGTGATCTGTGGCCGAAATAGGGGAACACTCTGTCTCAGGAGTCCCTACCGGTCATCAAGAGATCGTCATACTGAGGCCATCAAGAGGTCATCAAGAGATCATCTTGCTGACATTTGAGATCACGGCCCTATGGGCGGGGGTCCTTAATGTCACCTGCAACCAGCCCTTCGGACCCTTTAGCCATACCATCGGACCCTTGATCTTTGGTTTCAAGAGACCCTTCGGCCCCCGTTCGGGCCCCATCAATTATCACTCCGTCTCGGGACCATTTGCCGCCACAGGACCCCTTTTCGGCACTGTGACTCTTAACCGACACATGAGCTCCTCATCGTGTCATATACCCAGAACATTGCAAATCGCGGACTCCAGCCTCGTTTCTGCTTGGCAAATGAGTCTTAAGGGCTGAGACGGACATGGAGACGACTGTTCGATACTCGTGGTCGACTGACTTACGCACCCGCATTGTCTCAGGGGTTCCTCAAACGATGCAAGAGGACCTTTGACTGATATTTCAGGTCACGACCCTACGGGCCGCGCTTCTTTATGTGACCTAAAGCCAGTCCTTCGAGCCCCTGTGCCCTCCAACCGGCCTTTGATCGTCGGTTCCGGTGGGCCGTCCGAACCCCTCTTCGGGTCTCATCGAACACTTCGCTTGATCGGCTCGAGGCCCTTGCTAGCACAGCGCCCTCTGTTAAGCGTTGTGGGCCTCTCATAGATACAAAGCCCCCTACCAACGTAAACCACTGGCCCCAGCTTTAAAGTTGATTAGGAAGTGAGTCCCCAGGCCCATACCGACACGACTATTTGGTGCGGCGGTACCTGACCTGTGGTGGTGGTGGCGGGGGGGGGGGGGGGGGGCGAGCAATATGAATCGCTGGCTCCGGCTTTGTCCTTGCTTGGGAAATGGGCCCCCAGGCCCACGTCACCACGGGGCCGACTGTGCGTTACTGGTAGTGTCTGACCGAAATATAGGCTTTTGTCGACTCAGTGGGCCCATGATCAGCGCGCAGGACCCTCTGGCTAGCATTGGAGTGCCCGGCCCGGCGGGCCGGGCCCCTCAATGGGACCTCCAACTGGCATTTTGGGGCCCTTTGCGTCCTCGAGTCGGGCTCTCAAGTCGGGCCCTTAATCGTAGGTTCCGAAGGGACCTTTTGGGCCCTTCGGAATCTAAGGGGCGGCACGTGGCCCCCCGTACCCCTCCCTTGCCTGCACTACTGCTCGTGTACAAACCAAATAAAGATTCTGAAAAAAATTGTCTGAGTTCCACAGGCTTAGAAAGAGCATACTGGACCAATATGCAATAAAGACCGTTGGTGATCTGTTTCATGCAATCCTATAACGCACGATTTCTTCACTTGATTGACTATAAAATTGAGGCACAATTGATGTCTCGGCAACTTCTGGCCTCTTTTCCAGTTATTGAAGGTGACAATTTAAAAAAGCGCAGAAAAACACATCCTCATGAACAAATGCGCCATCTTCGGCGGCCTTTTTTGGAAGGGAGCTTTTAGTATCAGAGGTCCATTTATCAACCCTGTGTCCTTCCCTTGCCAAGACTATGGTTGCGCGCCTGGTCCCAACTCGGAAGCCACTCTACCGATCTACCCGCAACCTTCACCAGAAGAAAGAGTACTGCAAGTTGCACCACGACACCACGTAAATCCCGCTGGCGGCATCACACGTTGTATGGTCGCGCGATGTTGGTCCATCAACACCGACCACACGCAGCGTAATAGAAACGTATCGCACCAGGAGCGGACGACAGCAAAGAATCCACACGTCTCAGTGAGTAGTTTGAGCAGAATTGCCGCATCCTTCCATAACAAGGATGCAACAATTGGTCAAGGGAGAAGGCAGCAGAACCCATCAGCTCACCCGAGACCGCTCAATCGAGTTTGTCGGCACCGGACAACTCCCGCTACCGCCGGTGCACCAGCCGCGACCGTCGGAGCTCAAACTCCCGTCACTGAGGTGCCAGACATCCCCAGCAGCGCAGCAGTCCCACAGCTAACGAGTGAATCGGCGCCAGCGATTCATGCTCAGCCAGCGGGACGCCAGACCAAGGCAGCGGGAAGCCACGACTCGTCGGCAGGAATTACGTATGGCAGTTATGCCCCAGATATCATTGTATAACCCTCTTGCAAGCCATTGGAAATACTGACAGGAATGCTGTAACCTTGTTTCACGCTTAAGGCAATCTTTGAAACACTTAAAACCTGCTCTGAATGTGATATTTCTACCACAATAAGGTACGGAGCCGGCGACACAGCGGCGTTCGAGTTCGAAGACTCCAGTGACGTCATCAACCTGTGCTAAGCCCGCTCTCGATCTCACCAATTGGAAATGCCTTGATGACACTCTCTGAATCCAACATTGATCGTCAATGTGGCGTGCCAAATTGTGGATGAGTGTTGAGCGTTAGCTTTGATTTCGTTTGCAGCGATTACATGGCTGGTATTGGACTGTATCGGATGATGGTGAGAATCTACCGTACCTTTCCTGGTATGAACGTGCGTTTCCGGGTGCGAGCAGGTGAATGAGTCATGAACGCGTGATGTCCGAGGCCTTTACGTGCCGAGTGACATGTATTTGTATTAACGCACATGCGATCACTTAAGTTGCTCAATACATTCACAATAGGCCATAAGTACCAAATTCATCTTCCAACTTGTGTGATGTAGAATTTAGCATTATCTTCATGTGTCAATTTGCCGGGGAAAAGCAGGCGAGCACAACAGGTGTCAGGTGAGGCTGCAAAATAATATGCTACATGAAGCATCAGCATTGGCAGATGTGTGGCACAGAGACACAATACATCATGGTCAATAAAAATTTCAGCTCATGCATGTGCCTTATATGCCTCTTGCAGCTCCAGCTTGCTTCAAGGATGGCACACAGTGTCCCAAATTTACAGCATAGAGAACAAATATTTTAAGGAATTGTTATATGATGCTGAGAAGCTAAAGAAAATCTTACACAAAATTCCCCTATTGCACTTATTTAGGGTGAAAAATCTTACACAAACATTCCCTAAAACACTTACTTAGGTGCATGCAAGTATAAGTTTCAGTGCACCCATAATACTTAGACAGCTGCTGGCATGGTGGATGGATCTTTTTGCAGGCTGGTTGTCAGGCAGGTAGCCAAAACATGATGTTTGGCTAGAGGGAGCATTCCATGTTAGCATGTTTTATGTTGAAACAGCCATATTGAAGATCATTTGGTGCAGTTCACAGCCCTGCTTTTCTTTAGGCCAAAACCTCTTATTTCTGAGCTAGATGCCCTTAAAAAGTGCAGATTATTTTGTCCAAACTTAAGTGTTACCCAGGCATCCATCTGATCACACCATAATAATGTTCAAATCCTGCCACCCCACTAGCCATGCTGCAGCATTCATGGTTCATGGTAAAAAAAGGATGGATGAGTCATTCACATGTGGGGTTCCAGGATGAATTCCTGCTATAACAACTGTAACAGGTGTAACAGCCAATAGCACAGCAAGGGTAGCTGTAGGAGTCAGGGGCCTCTCAGGATATGACTGGTGCCTCACTCCATGGACAGGACGTGTGGGACATCATTGTGCCCATTCCACCTGCTGGTAGTCCAGCTAGCTGAAAGGGTCCCAGATGATGTCCAAGGGTTCACAAATGGGTTAACTATGGCCATGTACAGTGTTGGGAGCATGCAATTGTCAGCACTGCATGCAAGTGTTGTGCAAGCTCTGTGAGATGCCAACACAAGTTACATGTTGTGCCACACAATACAAAAAGCCATGCATTCTTCCTTCTTGTTACAGAAATATAGCTTGTAACAACATAACTGATCAATGGTGAACTAAGTATGTGAATACAAGTAAGGATCCTGAACTCACAGAAGTATGTAAGAACACCACAAAAAATCGGCCAGTACACAAGTGCATAACAATATTTGGTTCAGCACACATCCAACATTACTATGGGGCTCCTATCAGGAGATTGAAGAATCACAAGGGATTGCTTTCATGCAGGTGTTCTATAACACAATTAAACAATGATATTTTGAGGAGCATATTTATGAAATAAAAAATTATATTGTTTAGAGCAGTCTTTTCCACTGGAAAGTATACCAATAATTATAAGCAAGCTTATTTTGGCATATCTGGTGCTTGCATCAGCATCTTCAAATGTGGAACATTCCCTTTACCCATTTGTTGAAACAGGAATTATTATATGAGCAAGGTTTTGCCATATGATTTTCAATGCTAGCAGATGAAAAATGTATATAAAACTAAAGCATTTATATGCAGATCAAGGTAGTCAAAGTTGGAAGGTGTATTAAACAATTGCTAAAGATGTTTAAATATATACTATGGCATGTGGGGAATTGTGTACATAGTGAAGCCAGTTCAAAAACATGGTATTTACCCTTTTGAATGATAGATTAGTTAATTGCACAGCAAGAAATTGAATGACATTGTAATGTCATATGTGGCATATCTATTGTATTATGCAGGTAATCAATATAGTATCATATAACATTAACCATTTTATATAACAGTGCTGTTGCTAACACACAACAGCTTGTAAAATGTGAGCATAAACATGTGTGTCATTTTTACTCACCCAAATATTTGAGAGGAAGTGGTACTTGGTTTGATATACTGCATGCATTTAGGGCTGTTTTGTCAAATGATTGACTATTAGTTGCTACACATAGATAACTTCATTGAATGAAACAAATAATGTACACATGCACACAATATCTACAACTGCAGTACTTTTGCAGCCATGCCAAGTTGACTGCTTTGTAGCATAACAAGCTCAGCTCTTCTTTGTTCCTGCAACATTATGCCACATGGCCTTGCAGGTATGCAACATTTTGTTTGTTGCATTGTTGCAATACAATTGTGACAGCATTGTCACAGGAGTGTAAATTGCCTTTCAGTTAGGGGGGCTTCAGCCCCCCTCAACTTGGGCTCCAGTCTCCAAACTTTGTGAGGAAAGTGTGTCAAAGCTGAGGAAGACCTGTTTACTAGCATATTTTGGGAGTGGATTAGGCCACTTCTGACTGTTGAGCCATCCCAACTCATTTTGTGGAACTATGCCCCTGCTGTGTCATCTTCAGATAAGGTGCATGTTATGTTGTGTAGCAGCAGCCTACCACCAAAATGACTTTACTGAGGTTGCATTTGTGGATTTCAGGTTTGATCTGTTGTCCTTCTACATAACTCAAGAAATGGACCAGAATGGGTAAGTGGGCTGTACAGATACATTTGTCAACATTCTTGAGTGTGGAGAGTTAATGAATCATTTCAAATATAACCCCAAATTAGAGGGAGTTTCACATGTGTATGGGGTTTTGAGCTGAAATGGTCATTTTGAAGATTATTTGGTGCTGTCCTCAGGCCTGGCCTTCTTAAGGCCTCAAATATTTAGTTTCTGAGCTACACATCCAAAAAACTGTGCAGACTAGTTCAAAGTCACTCAGGCATGCATGATACCATAGCAACGCCGTTAAAATCCTGCCGCCCCTTAGGCCAAGCAGTACCGGAGGCCAGAAATAATATTGGCTAGCCTTTCCAATAGAGCACAAATTCCAACTTAAGTGGATGTCAACTCTCAGACAAGATTGAGCGAGCTTAAATCACGAATCAGGTTTTGTGCGACATCATAAAAAAGTTGGACTTGGGTTCGCCACTTATTAGTTATTGTGGAAATGATACTTGTGATGAAATAACTTAACAATAATGTCATAACCAAGCATGCAAATGCAAGTAAACATCTTAAATTCACGGATAGATATGTAACACCACGAGTAGGGGTCATAACCCGAGCTCATAGCGATACATGTCTCAATGAACACTTCCAACCCGTGTTGCCAACTCTCAACAAGTTTGAATTACTACAAGTAAGTGGCAGTTTTGCACGTCTGAGTTGTCAGCGCCTCAAGGCCATGCAAACGGTCCGTGAGAAAGTCAAACAATGACATATTTAACATCACGTTTTCTAAAAATAGAAGTTTTGGTGTCTAGAACAAGTGTCACATGACAGCACATGTGGCTGCAAGCATAATAATAAATTTTACCAGTACGAAATGTGTGGTGACTTTTTCAGCAACAAATGCTATTTAATGCTTCAAATGACAATTAAAGCTCAGCAGTGCTCATCATAAGTGCAACAAAGTGGTCACCTCAGAGCTTGGACTTAGAACTAGGCCACCCAGTCCATATCCTGCACTGCCCACCTTGGTCAGGGGTCTTTTGACAGCTTAACACAACTCACACATACACACGCACGCGTACACGCATACACGCATACGCACACGCACACGCACATGCACATGCACATGCACACGCACACGCACACGCACACACACACGCACACGCACACGCACACACTGAGAGCTGTTGGACAACCTGTACCGGCTCCTCTATCACGGGATAGCACCATCGTAAAGCTCCTCAGAGCCGGTCGGTGTTTCCTCCCGGAGCACCAGCTGACCCCATGTTCCTCTCATGGCTCCGTGACGGCGTGCGGCGGCAGGGGCGGCAACAGTGCCGGCAGCGTGTACGGTCGGCTGGGCGGCCCGTACGACCGCTGGGTGGAGCCGACAGACCGGTCGGCGCTGGGCCGCGTACAGCAGCAGTACTGGACCACCAAGCAGACGCTGCTGCGTAAGCTGGGCAAAAAGGAGGACGAGTACGTGGTGGCTTCCGACTCGGAGCTGGATGCCAAGCTCGAGCTGTACGGTAGCGTGGACGAGACGTGCCTCGACCTGGACCGTATCCTCGGCTTCTACCAGGACCAGTTGTGCGGTACGTGACGGCCGCCCCTCTCTCTGGGCGGGGTTCGCCGGTCCTGCGGCTCACTCAGGCTGGCGATGCCTTCAGTCTTGGTTGGGTTGCGTTTCTGTTATATGTGGATAAATGCTCCTGCCGCAGCGCGAGGCCGTTATTCTGAAGGCCCTGCCCTATCACTGAAGGGTACTCTGGGAAGAACGTTTGAGTACCCAGAAGGGTGGCTAGGTACTCAAATGGCATGCACGTGCATCTATTCGGTACTGGGCATCTATTCTGCCCATTCTATTCTGAGAATCTAAGTTGTCCAACATGTTCTGGGAATCCATTCTGTCCATTCTGTTTTGAGAATTAAGTTCGTTTATTCTGGTCTGAAAATCGTTGTTGTCCATTTTCTTCTAGGAATTCATTGTCTGTTCTGTTTTGGGAATATTTTCTGTCTTTCTTTTCCAAAAAAGATGCATGTACGTCATGTTCAATTCTCTCACCGTTTTGTACGTTCCGTTCCGCGTCCGATGTACGTTGCATGCAGAGGGGCTGTTTGCGCCGGGTCTGACAGTATGTGTCGAGAGCTGCCCGGCTGTGCTGTGATGGCCCTCCTGGAACTGAGAACGGACGCTCCGCCCCCTCCGACAGTGCTCTCCCAGGAGGAGAACAGCCTGGGCCGCTTCCTTAAGGAGCAGGGCAAGGAGGACAAGACGCGCGCCGGCAAGATGATGGTGGCCGTAGGCAAGACCATGTCGTACACGGCGCAGCAGCGGCTGGCGCTCCGCTCGCCGCTGCTGCGGCTGCATCAGGTGAGCCTGCCGACCGCGCGGCGCTGCTGCGGCTGCATCAGGTGAGCCTGCCGACCGCGCGGCGCTGCTGCGGCTGCATCAGGTGAGCCTGCCGACCGCGCGGCGCTGCTGCGGCCGCACCAGGTGAGCCTGCCGACCGTGCGGCGCTGCTGCGGCCCGCACCAGGTGAGCCTGCCGACCGCGCGGCGCTGCTGCGGCCGCACCAGGTGAGCCTGCCGACCGCGCGGCGCTGGCCAGCGGCGCTCCGAAGCCAGTTTCTGTACGCAGGGAGGGGTGTTGTGTTGTGAGCTCGGCGGGATGGGCCGGAAATCGGCAGGCTGTCAGCCCATCAGCCCCGGTCATGTCACGTGTCGGCCCCAATCTCATATGTCAGCATCGATCATGTCATGTGTCAGCCCAATCGTGTCTTGTGTCAGTCCCGATCATGTAATTTGTCAGCACCAATCCCTTATTCTGGGCCTGGGAGTTCGAATGCACCGCCCACTCTTGCAACTTACGGAACCCGAATATATAATATGTGCTGTCAAAACCCGGTTGTTTGGACCGTAAGCCATCACGTGGTTGCAAATATTGCATCTCGCCGATTCTAAGACCCGCAGCCCAACAAAGCCATGGTGCATACTTTCCAAGTTCTTCAAAACTGACGTGGTTTTATGGGCGTTGAAGGTGATCGTGGAAGGAAAAGTAGAAATTTGCCGTATTTGTCTGATTCTGGGCTGTTCTTGGCTGTAGTCATGGCGGCTTGGTGTCCAGGCAAACTACAGCAAGCTCGCGGACATTTGGGTATAGCTGGGGAGTTCATGTCTGGTGTTTTATGCTAGGGAGAAACACCACAAGACATCACCAAGCTCGTCGCTTTCGGTCCAGGTCCATAAAGGACGCGATGGTCCGCCTTTCTTGCAAGCTTGCACAGTCTTTATTTCGCGGCCGCCGAGCTCGGTTGGCGAACGTAGAGAAACTTAATAGAACGTCATATTTCTCACTGCCAGTGAGCTCGCGTAAAGCATAGCCCTTGCGTGAGAAATTGTGTTTGTTTGATGCCAAAGACGTGTTTTGAATGTTTCGTGATCCTCATCCGACCGAAGCACTTTGCTTAGTCGTTTGGGCCGCTGTTGTGTGGTGCTAATAGTTTTCACATGGCTATTCATTTGGATTGATGATGCGGACACTAGCGTTTCGGACCGCGCGATTGTGCCGTCGCCGATGCCATTGTCTCGGAAGGTGCTGCGATCGGCCCCGACCGCCTCGTTCGTCGACAGGAGGTGGAGACGTTCCACAACCGGGCCGTCAAGGACACGGCGATGACGGTGCGCAGCATGGAGAAGGTGCGCACCGAGTACCGCGGCACGCTCATGTGGATGAAGGATATCTCGCAGGAGCTCGACCCGGACACCTACAAACAGCTGGAGAAGTTCAGAAAGGTGTGTTGCCCCGGCCACGGGCGCCAGGAAGCACGCGAGCGGGAGAAAGTGAGCGGTGTCTGTTACCAGTGCTCGCTCCCATAGATAAGACAGTAGTGCTAGCATTATTCCTCGGAGAAAAACCAGGAGAATGAAGACAGATGGGTAGATATTTCGGTAACATGCTTTTATCGAAACAATAGCACTTCTGGTTTTGTTTCGATAAAGTCATGTTGCCGAAGTGCCAACGCATCTTTATCTCCATTCTGCTGGTTTACCCCGAGAAATGAGGCTTTTACTACTATCTTATTCACGTGAATAACGCTCCTCGCAAATGCACTGAATAACTCGTACTAACTCGTAATTTTGAGCCGAATAGTGGTCGTCAGAAAGCGCTAGCTAAAAATTTCATGAGCCCAGAAAAACAGTGCGCGTTCCAGTGGATCGGAAACACAACATTTTGGTGTAGCTGTACTACCGCATGATGAACACACCACCTGTTGACGCAGACATTTGTGCAGGCAGGATCGTGCATTTATAGTTAGGTGCTAGATTGCAATGCCTACAATTGCAAATGCTCCACCAGGTCCAGATGCAGGTGAAAAAGAACAAGCAGCGTTTTGACAAGCTGAAGGTGGACTGTCTGCAGAAGATCGACCTGCTGGCCGCGTCGCGGTGTAACATGTTCTCGCACGCGCTGGTGCTCTACCAGGACGCACTGCTCCAGTTCTGGGAGAAGACGGCCCGCACCATGAACCACGTGTCGGACAGCTTCAGAGGTGCCCGGCCTTAGTCGTGTTTTCTGTGCAGCACGAGTTGTGTCTCCCTGGGTTGGTTTGACGTCATTTGACGTCTCAGCAGTGAGGCTACAAGTGTGGTGTGGTTCCCTTACGGCGGGAGGGGGGGGGGGGGGCGGATTACGGTTAACAGAGTCACACGAGGCTCGCAGCGAGCGACGCCACGCGAAACTTAATGCCCGTTCGGACGACTCGCTGTCGCCAGGGTACCAGTACTACGAGTTCTCCGTGGTGAAGGAGCTGTGCGAGCCGTCCCGGCTGCTGGCCGACCAGGCGTCGGCGGCTCGCACGGCCGCCACCCAGCCGGCCCCGGCAGCGGCAGTCTCCGCACCGCCCGACCAGCAGACGGACAAGTGAGTGCAGGCCGAGGCCGCGGCCGACGGACAGTCTCACCCACTTGACATGCTGACACAATTGGTATCAGCCTGACATTGGCGACAGACCGACACACATGGCGACAGACTGACAGACCTGGCGATGGGCCGACACGTGCGGCGACAGACTGACACGTTTGGCAGCAGCCGGGTACATCTGCTGACAGGCTGGCTCACCAAGGAACAAGTACGGTTGTCGATTTACGGCCGACTGTTGTCATTGGGGCGCAAGCCTGTGGTGTCCCTAAAAACAGCGCGGAACACAATACGCAAAGTCTGTTGTTTTTATGTCGGGGACGATAACCGTGTTTGTATTTTTCAATCTGCTGTTTTGTTGTTGGGGCAACAGTTTTCGTAGCTGTCATTTAAGTTGCGTACCTCGCACTCTTGTATTGTTTTCACCAAGACCGTAATGTTCTTTATGTTTCAGGCCTCCCGATCGTGCGAGACCGCATTGTTTTAGTTGGTTTGGTATGTTTATTCGATTTATTCGCCATCCTGCGTATACGCCGCCCCGCACGTCCTCCTAACCACCGACCTCTTGGCCTGCACCAGCAGTGGGATAGGCACTAACTGGCCACCACCAACACTAGCAACGCCGCTGTCGGAATGGCGCTTGGTTATTGGCCTGTTCAGACATGCAGCCGGCGTTAAGCACGTGTACTAACCCCAGAGGCATCCTCCAGAGGCGAGCGAGGTCATGCTCGTAGGACACCCACTGGTCCGGCAGGCGGTGCCTTATCCGCTGATGACAAGGCCAGCTTGCTTCATCTCCCAATGCGTGATGGTTCGGTATTCCTGCATGAGAGCCGCGTGTGACCCGCGCATTGACATTATCCATGTTTTGCTCTTCATGGAAGACGACTGATGTGCATGAGTTCTCCAGATGTGCGTGGTGAACTTCTTTGCACTGACAGCTCGTGTTCAAAGTGATGTTGCCATTGAATGCGATAATTTCTACACCCGACGTTCACCTCTGACACGTAGCCAGTGTGAATTTTGCTGGTTGTAGCCATCTGCTGCGTCAATGATAGCCTTCCAAATAGCGTCATGCGCCGTGTCGCCTGGTGTGAATGGCGCATGTCTGCGGTGGCTGGGAGGTCACGGGCGAGCGGGGTCATCGGTCAGCATCCGTTTCTATGTATTTATATTCGGTTGGAGTCGTATCTCATGGGCACGTAATGACTTAAAATCGGGACTAGAACGCATGCGTCGGCGTCTGGTCATGAGGTCCGGACGCCGCGGGTCGGAGCACCGACGCCACGTGTCCACGTGCCAGGGATGTCTCCTCCCGCAGGCTGATCTCCTTCGAGAGCGAGGAGACGGAAGAGCCGAGCCAGGCGACCGCCGCCGGCCCCGTGCCGTCATCGGCGGCCGTGACGTCACCTGCCGATGTGGCGTCACCGGGTGACGTGGCGCTGCTGGAGCTGGGTGAGGTGACGCACCCGGAGCCGGCGCCACCCCAGGGTGAGTGGCGCGCCGCCGGCCGAGCGCCAGCGCTCCGTGGGGTTGCTGGATGGGCAGTGCGCAGCGGGGATCGCGGCAAAGCTGAGATGTGCCAACGAAACGCTCGTTGCAACGCTGGCGACATGTCTCACTCCGAAACTGTGCCCAAGTCTCAGTTAGTCGTGATGTGCCGGCATAACTATCGTTGATTCCTGGAGGCGCTCTGCTTCTTTGGCGTTGATAGTGAAATGTGTTTAGGTCAGTGCTTCAATGATTGGCCTATTGGGTGCCAAGAATGTCGTTATTTTTCGTGCTTTTACACCTCCGGCTTAGGGTTCACTGTCTGTTGCTCCTCCTCTTGCTCAAAATAAGTCAATCAGTATCGAACCGTTCTGCGGTCAACCCAGCATCCAAGCGCCCCTCAGGCTGGACAAGTTGACTGGGCTGGTCCGATGGGTGGATTCGGGGTCAAAGGTCAATGGTTAAGCGGGAACGAAGCATGTGCGAAGGCCGCCGGAAAGCCATGATTCTGGTAAGGTGAATTTGTATTTACGTCCTGGCACCCTATTGGATGCATTTTAGAACACTGATTTAGGTGGGCCGTGTTGAGACAGACGGCATCTTCCGTCCGTTTTCGGTGCAGACCCATGTAGACGTTCCGCGCCCGCCTCAAAGTCCCGTGTTTACGGCAGGGGAGGTTAACCTGCTGAGCCAGCACCCGGGTATACCGGAGCTAGAGAAGGACGACCAGGCGCTGCTGGAGGAGATCCTGTCGGCGCCGACGGCGGCGGCGGCGGCCGCCCAGCCGGGACCGTGGCACGCCGCCGAGGCCGGCCTCACCCCGCTGGCGCTGCAGGTACTGCCGGCGGCATCGACCAGCTGCCACGCCGACCAGGTGTCAGCGCCAGGCGCAGCGGAGGGCGCCGCCCGCCCGTGTTTTGAGCGGACTCGAGCTGGTGGCTGGCGGCTGGTCTGAGCGCTTCCGTGGCCGGCTGTGGGTGTGTTGACGCGCCCCCTGTCTGTGTGCACTACTCTTGCCGATTGTCTGGGGGACGAGGCCTGCGTGCCTGACTGACCCTGTGTCCCTCCGTCGCGCAGGACGTCTTCGGTGACCTGACTCTGAGCGGCGGTGCCGCAGCGGCCGGCGCCGGGCCCGCCCAGCCGTCCGCCTTCATGCCCTCCCAGTTGTTCGGATCAGGTACGGCTGACCGCCGGTCGGCGGTGGGAACGACTGACGGTCCTTACTGGACTAAAGGGAATCTGATAAAATATCACTGAACTATGCCTGGTAGTTACACGTGTCACCTGCTCCTTATCCTATATCGTGCCGCTCGCCTTTTCACGTGATGGATTGGGTGCTGGCGCTTCATGTATCATTCTGCTAGTCTTTACCTCCACCTGGCGTCACCTGTAGGAGCTCGAGGTAACACTGCCGGAGCACAGATGGCAGCAGCTCCGAGTGCTGCCGCAGCTGGCGGGGCAGGCCAGCCTCCAGTGCCGCAGCCCAAGTCCCAGGCTAAGCAAACCGTAAGTGGAACTAAAGCGATCTACTTCAACACCTCCCTGCTTGTAATGAGGTTTAAGGCAGGTTTTGGTGCGTTTTGCCGACTGGCCTCGTGTCTGATAACAGCTATCCTTGAATCATGTGACTGATATAAATTCGCGATAGTGCTAAGCCTCCACTTCCTACAATGCCGAACACGTGCGGTGTGTCGGCGTGCGCTGATTTCTCCGAGCTATGATGAGCTCCGCCTGCTCCACCACCCGGTGACGCCGGGGGACGCTGAGATGGAATGCTGGCCCGCTCAGACTTTGTCGGCAGTTGAACACTGCCAGGAATATTTGTGGTCAATGAGGAGCTTATAGGACTTGAACCTAGCTGGGCGCGGAATGCCGACGTCTGCTGGAGTGGAGTGCGCCGGCTGATCATTGTTGGCAGTGGGCGTGCTGCGTTGACTGTCGACCAGATTTTTCAATACACTGCGATCCAGGCTTTGACTGGAAAGTCAGGTTTTGGTAGTGAGTTGTATGCGTCCTTCCGCAAACTAGCTAACCACGTGTGCATGATGCCGGATGTCTAATCGACGCGCCCTACAAGACCAACCCATCACCACCACCACGTCTGAGGGCGAAGATCGTCTGGGTCCGTCGCGCTGACGGCGTCGGTGCGGTCTGCCGGCAGGACATGTCGGCCTGGTACAACCTGTTCGCCGACCTGGACCCGCTAGCCGACCCGGACGCCGTAGGCCACAAGCAGGGCGACGGCGACCGGAACTGCTAGCAGCGTCGCCGTGCTGCGGGCTCGCGACCCGGCGCGGCGGCCCGGCGCGGCGCGTGGAGGCCACGCTGCGAGCTCGCGGCCCGGCGCGGCACGGCCCGGCGCAGCGCGGCCCGACGCGGCGCGGCGCCGCGGCAGGCCGGCGGCTGCGGCGGCCGCCGGTCGTGGTCGCCGCTCTGCGCCGTGACGCCGCTGGCACGTGGCGGCGTCGACAGGCACGTGACGGCTGTCCGGATACCGTAAACGTACAGGCGGGCGGTTGTGATTTGTTTTGCGCCTATATCCTTTGTCGCTGCTCCGCTTTCTTTATTATGTTCTTTGTTGGCGTCTGTGACTGTGAGTGGTCCGAAAAATCCAGGCGTGTTTGGGAGCTCTATTTAACGGCCGTGCTGTTCGGCCTCGGTGCGAGTTGTTAATTTTGTGTGTGGCGAGGGTACATTTATACATTGTGGAGGGCTATCATGGTGTGCATCTATTTTGAAATTTTGTGTCGTCGCGGTTGGTTTCTGGCGCCCAGCGAGCGCTGCTGAACGCTCGTGTCCTCTCTCATATGCCATAAACTGCACGATGTCGCTTGCGTTTTCTCACCTAGACGGCGGGTGGGATCTCATCTCGTAACTGAATGATCGTCTGGGAATTCTGGGCGGCCAGGTAGTGCCTGCGTCCAGGCCGTTTTCTTTGCTTTACGAAGCAGCGCCGGAAGTGCTCTGCGACGGTATTGCGGCCGAGCCCACGGTATGTGATTAAGGCCCCACCACATTTCCTCCTGGGCTGCGGCTGCATCTCCTCGATCTGGATTAATATACCATTATGTTGCGGGGAGGGGCGTAAGTGACGGGCTCTGGGAACTAATTTTTTATATTCTGCATGAAACTTTACGGATAATCCGCTAATTCTGTTTCACGCATGACATCAATTTGCAGACAATGCTCACTTTTGCCTGGATATTGAGTTGGCACGCTCAGACGACCCGAGCGGTTGGCAGGCAGGACGTGGCTAGGGACTTAACGCAGGGCTCTACCCTCCAGCCGTCCGCGCAGCTGTGGGCGGGGGACGGGGCCGTCCCCGGCCCATCGACGGACGGGCCTGCGTCCAGTCGCCGTATCACACCATCGCGTGTGGAGGGAGCGGCATACCGGCGCGGAGTGAAGCCGGCACCTCAGAGGCCACTCGGGGCGCCTGCCACAGGCACAACCCGGACTCCATTCGGGCGTGTGGCCGGCAGGCGGGCTGGGTAGCGCCGGTAACAGCCGCGCGCGCTGCCTTTTGGAGGTTGCGCAGAGATAGCGAAATACCCCAAACGTCTTCAGCCGCGTGCCAATAGCCATGCTCGGACACGTCTGACGCCCCTACCCATACATGCTTTCACCCACTTTCAACATTTGCGCAGCGCAGTCAGACAATATTGATCAGAAGAGATCTCACGGGTATCATGGCGTGGTAACGTTTATCAAAAGAGGTCTCGCGAGTATCATCTTCTATCTACTATTATGCTAAAGAAACAATGTCATGTATTTGTCCGCCACCAAGGTTTGATATGCACAAGCTAAACGGTAAGGTATTTTAATGAAATTTTCATTCGACCGTGAGCTGCTGGCGGAGCGCGGCAGTGTCACGTCAAATTTCTGCATTTGCCGTAAATGACCGCGTGGTGAGCAAAATACGTCGCAAAGTTTCCATAGGTTTAACAACGGCGACACAGTTTTCGTGACTGCCGGACGACGGCATGACCCGGGTCCATTCCCTGAGTCATAGAATCGAATGGGCCATCGGATGGTATCAAATTGATGGTGCCGCGCCGCACGTGGCCCGTGCACACTCGCGCACACAAAATGTCTTGCTCCTGACGAGCTTTTTCGTTTTGGGTTGCATCTCGGCACGCAATGCAGGTAGAGGCGTGAGTTTTGTTTCTCAACATTCAGGATCCAAGCGACAACACTTCCAGCGCGCGTCACGAGTTTAGGCAACGCACCGTTGCGCTGCAAATTGCAAGACGAGTTGCAAGCGGACAAGTTTTTAAAGTCGGCGCCGAATACGAGCCGTTACCGCCAAAACTTCGGGAATTGAGTGTTGAAATCAACATCAGGGTGTTGGCCGATTCGTTCTATCTCTTTACCACCCTTTTGTTGATAATATTTTTACGATGTTTCGCTAGCAAATGAGCCTAGACTGATGGGTTGCACGGCAGGGTGTGTCATCGAGGGGGTGAATCTCTTGGAATCAGCTGAGACAAAGTTTTCCTTGGCACACGGATTGATGATAAACTTTGAGGCCTGTCGCACCGCACCAATGTTGATATTCGTGAGGCGGAAGCAGCCTTCCTTTGATGGGCCGAGAAACCCGTGTTCGATGCCAGCGCTACCTATTTTCCGCACTGGGATCATCCAACAAGCCTCAAAGCCGCCACTTTCCACACTACTGGTACTTGATGGGTTAAGCAGGAAATAAAGATAATGAAGAGCACCAGCAAAACATTGCCAAACAGCTTTTAAGCTGACTTTTCAGTAAAGAACATTAATTCTTAGTAAAACCCAAAGCTGTGCAGTTATAAAAATGCTCCAGCAGACCGGGTTAGGTCCAAGTTCGTTAATGCTAACGCGTCTTTGTGATCTTAATTTGCAATTTATGTACTTTTTGCATGGGAGCTATGGGCTTGCTACTT